ATGCATGGAAGGATAGACATTTTCCTCAATCGTCCCACCTCTCTGATATACAGCTTTATCGACTGGCTGCTCAATTATAGGCTCATTTAATACGTCGGCGTCGGTCGTTCTTTATTGGTGCCATATAAATCTCTATTGCTGGTTGTTTTCTGGTTGTGGTGACAGCCTGCAGAAGTGAGTCTTTGAACATTTGATCAAAGCCATCAACCAGCTTCTGAATCAGTCTCCTGGGAGGACATGCCTCCATGGCAGCGAGTATAGATCCACCGGCACCACAGGGATATCCTTTACTGGAGTTTTTTTTTTTTTTTTTTTTGCTACAAAGTTAGAAATAGAGGATGGAAAGTGTTTTGAACACTTGCAAAAGAGAGATAATTGAGACAATGGAGAAAGGATGTTTGAGATGGTGCTGTAAGGCAGTAAGAATATATATATGTATGTATATATATGTATATTATATATATATATATTATATTAATATATAGTCATTGTAACAAGGGATACAATCAAATGAGACCTTCTGGACCCAACTCTGCTTCCTTAACCACTAAGCCACCACTGCCAGAGGATAAAGAGAGAGCTGGAGTGAAGGAGAACAGAGCTAGAGTTCATCTTATCTGCTGTGGCAACAGATGAAGGGAGTAGCTAAAAGTACATGGGGAGGAAGTCATGCCAATAAAATTTATACAAAGTGAGCGCGTTTGCCCTCGTTCTGTGTATAATTTTAAATCAATGTAGGGGCCAGCCGATACGCAAACGGAACCCAGTGATGCTTGTGGAACATTCTTCAGCCACTTAAAGCAGGGACAGTCGGGCCGTGTCCCTGATGTCTTCCCTTTCTTCCCACTGAACAGTGTTTCCCAACAGCCTTAACCTTCGCTCTCCCTTTACTACGGGCAGCACTTCACAACACTCCCTAACATGCTTGGACAGCTGTGTCCACGGCCCAGCGGGGTGCGTTCACTATTGCCCTGAAATCTGCCTAATTATGCATCTCATCAGCTCTTCAGCCGCTCAATAGCTGTAATCCCAGAGCTGCACGGCCTCATGCTCAGACTCTCTTCCTCCAAGACTTCCCTTGTGCATGTCCTTCCTAAATTATTTTATTTCAACTCTGCATCTATTTTTCTCGTTACCTTTCCCTTTCAGCTTTTCCTCATCATCCTCTTCTTGCCTCCCACTCCGTATCTATCTCGGTCTGTTGCATCATCATCCTCCTCTCCTCCTCTCTCCTCTAATCATGTCCCGAGTCCGTAAACCCAAGCCCTTTGAGCTCTGTGTGCCACAGGGCGGCCAGAGCAGCTTTGCTGCTCCTCCCACAGTAACTGCTCCCTCCTGGCTTTGCTTCACTGCCACATTGCCTCCCTCTTTCCACTTCCACATCAATACAACTACCACCATCACCCTCTCATGTCTCACCCCGGAGCCTACTGCGTCCACGCTCCAACCAAAGATCAGTCACGCGTGCACAAACACACATACATACACACATACGTATGACAACAGTCCGCAGCTTGTAAGTGAAGCTGCAGGAGAAGGAAAAACAAGGAAGGAAAGTGGAAGAAAGGAAAGTGAACTACTTGTCATTGTGACACAGCAGAGACTGGAGAACGAAATGAAAAAAGGAAGGGGTTGACTAGTAAAATGATTGATGGAGAACTGAAGAATGGGGAAGGGTTAGTTAGTGACATTAGTTAGTTGTTTGGTTACAGAGTGAATGTTTTTGTAGCTGCAACAGATATAAAAAAAAAAAGTATAGCTTCCACTGCCCCTCAACAACTCAGGGGACGGTCGATGTACTCATGTTGGCAGTGTTCACAGTGAGAATATAAAGACCTACAGATGAAGCCAGAAAAGGTGGAAATGATGAGTCAAATGTCACTGAGCTGCAGTGTGTATATGTGTGTGCGTGGTCGACTGTTCAGGACCAGATTATTTATAAAACTATGGTGTCCAAAACTTTTTAAAAGAAATCTTTCCTACTCAGATTTATCTGATTTTATTTATTTACTGTAAGTTTTCATAATGTACTTTCATGCATTTTTCCAATACTCTGGTCCACAGTAAACACTTGGTCCAGCAGTGACTGTGGTAATATGATTGGTATTTGCACGTACTGTATGTAGCATAAAACATAACCATAAATTCCTGCACATTTTTTTCAATGAATTAATTTTTTCTCCTCCAACACCAATAACTAGTGAGCGATAATCATACTGTTTTTAGTATGAAGTTATGTTAGCGTAGGTGTAAGTGTCTAAAGAAGTCGACAACAGGCCACGTACAGGAGTGTGTGTATGTATGTGTGTGTGAAATCTGTCAGAGTGATTAATGTATTACAAGGGGGAAGCCCTGAGGATGAAAACGCACACACACACATTCACATGTTCACTGCCGTCACATGCACAGGAACCATTTTAAAAATGACAAAGTGCTACATATCACCAAGGGCATGGGAACAGTCTCCTCTGAGGTTACAATATTGTGCCCGACTCCTGTAATGACTCAGTGTTTTCATTAATTAGTCCGGTGAACATGAATGAAGCTACAATTCGGCCTGAAAATCTGCGCTTACGTTCTCATAGAAATCAAGCCTTTTTTTTTTTTTTAATAACACTTCTCATTTATTTTCCACCACCGACTGTCAGCGAAAACCAAATAACAACCACAGATTTATTTATAGACAATAATAACATGTCAAAATGAAGTGTGAAGACAGAGAGATTGTGCTGGGGATATGAAGCGGTGCTAGAGATGTGACAGGGTCAGTGTTTGGGGAAGTGGTGAGACTGGGAGAGACAGGCCGAGGACGCCAGGACGGCGTGAGTGTTAAGGAAATGTTGAGCAGCGGATGAAAGGGTATTACAGAGGTTGGGAGGGAGGAGCAGATGGAGAGGAATAAAAAGGAGAGAATGGAGGGCGGAAGAGAGCAGGTGGTCAAATAAAACAGGTGAAAATAGGAGCGCTGCATTTAGACAGGGCTTTATCAGACTGAGGAATGGGTTCCTACAATGAGGGTCTTTTGGCTCTGGTCTGTTGACCTTACCTTTGTGAAACGAAATATATTTGCGGAAAAAAAGTTAACAACAGTAAAGTGGGAGAGTGTGTGGAAAGGAACATTGACAAAAGTCAGATTGGAAATAGCTAATAGTTAAAGTTAGCCAACAAATCAAAAGTAAAGCATTGGGCCTAAAAATATTTAAAAGCTTGTTAAAAAAGTCCATAATATTAGGTACTAGCAACTAACACCAAGTGGACAAAGATTGACATATAGATGATATATATATATATGTATATATATATATTACTATGGCTCCTGGTGCAGTTTTTAAAAAAATCTATTACTCAGCAGTTTGTGCCGCGGAAGGGAGGTCTGAAGGATTTAAAGGTGAGCGTCTTAGAAGCTGGAGGTTTAGCGTTGGCGTGGTAATATATGGTGGAGGAGAACAGCCAGTGGTGAGGGGATGTGACAGGTTGTTGTCAGACCCTGGAAGATAGATGACAACAAGGTCAAGCTGATGTCACTGCAGATGAATAACCGTGGTGGGGTGGGTGCACGGGGGCACAAGTGCATATTGGTGTAAATGATCAGAGAGGACAGGATCAGCAATTTTAACTCCAAGGCTGACTGACCCTGGATGTGTGTTTGTGAGGACAAGGTCAGTGACATCTGACCTTGTCTTACAAGCTGTAATTTTTGTGTATGTCTGTGGTTGTGTGTCAGTGTCCATCTTTTTGTTGCACTGTTTTAAGCTTCAGCTTCACACTCACACTATATTATCTCTATGCTCCTCATAATGCAAACATATTGCTGTTGTATCGCTGCCTGTTCCCAGCTCAGCTTGATTCCTATTGACAAACCTGGTGTAGCAGCATTTCCTGCTGTCTGCACACACACTCAGGCAGTGGTAGATAATGACTAGCATCATTATTCACCCAGAAACCTCTTGATCCAAGGCTATTATTTCCACTAGGAATCAGTGCTAAACAGCATTATTCTTACGTTATGTGAAAAGTAAAGATCTTCACTGCTCACTCACACTAGTGCAGTTAGGTTTTTCTTTTTTCCCTGCATCCTGTTTCAGACTCAACCCTCCCTGCAGCTCTCCCTGCCTCTCATTCTTCACACTTTCACCCAGAGACAGGTTTCCCCAACTCCATTATTAATACTTCCCCCTAATCCTGCATGGAACAGGCTTTGGCAGCTTTAGGGCTCAGTGAACGAGAGTAAACAAACAGAACAGAGGAACAGGGTGAAGTGAAATGTCCACCGAGGCTCCTCCATTTCCCACAGTGGTTTAAACATCTTTATTTTATCAAGGTTAAACACCCTTCTCCGCCAGAATCCAAAACTAGATTGAAAACATAACTTCCGTCCCGTGTTCCCACTATATACTATTTATATACAGTACATACATTTGATCTATTTGTATGGCTTTTTACAGCGCCTGTAAAATAAATGCATCTGATAAGTGATCCACCTTCTGTGGTGCATTCTTCAGGTGATTATATAATATTTATTATAACTTATTCAGAAAAACCCGTGAGGCACTACTGTGACATTTAGTCATTTTGCATCATTGCCATATCAGAGTTTATATATTGGTTTGTACATGTATGTTGAATGTTAATGTAAACAGGTGTCTGTGTATCAGTGTGGCTCACTGACAGTCACTTGTCTTTTGTCCCCTAACAGTAAAAAACAGTTTAAACTTGGTTGAATTGATGATTTTTTTCTCTCTCTCTGTCTTCTTCTCCAGGACTTGATCTCACACCCTACACTGACGGACTGCAGTAAAACCCAGTAGACTCCAGTGAACGCCAGGCTGTATCCAGCAGCCATGTCTGTACTTCAGCCACCTCTCACCTGTCGTTTCCCCTCCCATCTTTCCTCCCTCATCCTCCTCCTCCTCTCTTTCTCTCTGCTCCTGTCATGTCCTGGATCAGTGGATGCAGGTTCATCCCAGAAAAACTGTTCAGCTGCTGGAGATGTCTGCAAAGAAGGTGAGTTGTTTTTTTTAATCCACAGATTTATGCACATGTGGGATTAACAAGATTATGTATGCGAGTTTCTGTACTAAGTGTTAAGATTGAGCAAGTGCATTGTGGGTTATGTATGGGTGACAGCCTTTCAGCTGCGGATGTCACAAATATTGACTTCATCTGGTTTACCATTAAGGAAACCTAAATTCTACACTGAGAATAATCAGTATACAGCTACAGAACACATACATAGGCACAAATATTTTTATTATTTTATTATTAAATTGTATTAAATTAAATGATTATCATCTAAGAATTTCCTTTACTACAATATAGCCTAAAATTGTGGACTTTACTTTTGTGCAGCTAGGTCCAGACAAACATCTAATTCTCCCGGAGAGTATTCATCTCACCAGTCAAACATCTATTATTTGTAGTGTACTCAACCATTTTGAGGTAGATCCATCAGTGTGGCCTTTACAGAGGCTTAGAAAAAAAAGAGAAAGAAAATAGATCCATTTGACAAACCCTCAGATACTGAGCTGTCACTAAAAGTCAGTGGACCAGCACACACTGAGATATATGAGAAGTTTAAAAACAAGTTTTTGACCTTTATTTCAGGAGTGGTACTGCCTGTGTGGAACCCTCAGAACCCATCTGTGGGTGACAAAGTGGCGCGGGCCATAGTTTACTTCGTTGCCCTCATCTACATGTTCCTGGGCATGAGCATTATCGCGGACCGCTTCATGTCATCCATAGAGGTGAGCAGTTATTGATGTTGCCTTTCCATTGGATTCTATTAGTAGGTGGTCAGTGAAGTCAGATTTAGGATATCGGAAATACAAGGACTCTCATTTGATGTAATATTTGTATGTATTTGATATATGAGATAAGATAAGAAGTCTTGAGGACATTCATAGTGTTAACAGCAGCAGAGTACAGTACAGAGATTCTATGGTATATTGCCTATTGTGTGCAGGTCATAACCTCCCAGGAGAAGGAGATCACCATAAAGAAGCCCAATGGTGAAACGACCACAACTACAGTCAGGATTTGGAATGAAACTGTTTCTAATCTCACTCTAATGGCCTTGGGTTCCAGTGCCCCAGAGATACTGTTGTCGGTTATTGAGGTTGGTGTCATATGAGATAGCTGGCCACTCCAGATGGACTGATACAGAATGTAATAGAGCCACAGTAATACAATTCCACCTAACCTCTGCACAGGTGTGCGGTCATAACTTTGAGGCGGGGGATCTTGGTCCCAGCACCATCGTGGGCAGCGCTGCCTTCAACATGTTCGTCATCATCGCCCTGTGTGTGTACGTGGTCCCTGACGGAGAGACGCGGAAAATCAAGCACCTGAGGGTGTTCTTTGTCACAGCAGCCTGGAGCATCTTCGCTTACATCTGGCTCTACTTAATCCTGAGTGTCTTCTCGCCTGGAGAAGTGGAGGTGAGGATGGATGATAAGGAAATCTGTGTAATCTCGAATCTGTAAATCCTTTTCTGGCCTGTGGGGTTTTCTATTTTTTTTCTTCTACTTTTGCCTCCACTATCCACAACCAATCAGACGTGGCCGCAATTTTTTCTTGGTTTGAAATTCACATTTCCATCTCTGCTGACAGTGATGTATGGTTTATAAGGCTGAAACGTATATCACTAGCCTTTAGCAGTACACGGTAGATTAATCTCTTCAGCCCACTGTAAACAGTGGACTCCTACAAACACATTTCCATGGATGATGCAACTATACTTTCCCAAAATAGTGCACTGACTCAGAAGTTTAATGTCAGAAGGTTTGGTTTGTTCGGTGCTTTGTTAAAGAGACCCTCAACATTCCACACTGTTATTTAGCAACCTTTTTTAAGCAGTTTTGAATTTTGAACAATGAACTTTTCGGAGCAGGACTCACGAACTGTTGTTTGCGAATTGTACAACTACTAAATCAAGGTAACTGTTAGTAGAAGATGGACAAGGTGTTGACCTGCCTCTTTTTCCTCCCTACCTTGTCTCAGGTCTGGGAGGCAGTCCTGACTTTCCTCTACTTCCCTCTCTGCGTGGTCCAAGCTTGGGTGGCTGACCGCCGCCTTCTCTTTTACAAGTATGTTCGCAAGCGTTACCGTGCCGACAAGCACCGGGGAATCATCATCGAGACTGAAGGAGGAGCAGATGGAGGATTTGGAGGCCTGGATGGAGCAGGAGGAGCCCTTGGTCCGGGAGGATTCACCAAGATGGACATGCTGGAGCTGGATGGACAGATGGCATTGAACTCTCACAGTGGCATAGATGGAGGTTTGATGGAGGAGGGAGGAGCTAAAGACGAGGAGGACGAAGCGAGGAGGGACATGGCAAGAACCTTGAAGGAGCTGAAGCAAAGGCACCCGGATAAAGACATGGAGCAGCTGATCGAGATGGCCAATTATCAGGTGACTGCTAGCACAGTCAGCAGTGTCCAATGAGTGGACTCCACCCACTCGTTAGTATTTACATATATGCCTACATGTATATAAAACCATATCTAACGAACAACTGAGAAGCAAGAAGTGGACTGTCATCGGTAACATCACGGAGCAGACAGTCACTGAGGCACTACTACCTATAACCACTGTATACCACTACAGAAAAGTAATCTAGTATAAATACTTACTACATGCAGATGACAAACATGGAGGTTCCTTTTTGGCTCTTGACCCTTTTCTGTTCTGGGTCTGAACACGCTTTGACCACAGTTTGTCACTAGTGTCCATTTCTCCCTCCATGGCCAATTGTTGCCATGGATACAGGAAGGCATAATCACATTCTCCCCACAAAAGAGGTGGGCGGAGCACCAATCCTTATTGGTGCTCCGTTAAACAAGTGTGTGACGAAATCAGCTATAATATATTATTTATAATTTTACGATAATATTAATTATTAGTAATTATACTTTTTCAGTCTTAGGTCATCTTAGTTGACCTTTGCCTGCTGTAGCCAATGGGATGGGGAAGAGTTTAACATTTTATCAAATGCGTTGAAGAAAAAATGAAGCAGACGCCTGATCCATACAAACAAACACTTGCGTGCAGTGCAAACAGAAGTTAAATATTGAAACCATACCAGCAGATAGACTTTGTATCATTAGAACTGAGTGACATCTGAGTGATGGTTTTTTCTCTGCCGCCCCACCGTTTGGTTCTTCTGGTCTCCTGAGAGAAAAGTGGCGGCAGTTGAACAGAGGAGCTTTTTATAGCACGCAGTGTGTCTGAGCAATTCAGCTGAATATTGAGTACAGAACACTGCAGCTCTGCGCTGACCAAGCTTAAAGGTGTGCTGTGGTCATCTGCGTGCTTCTTTTTACAGTTAGCTTTATGTATTGGATTTTTATTGCCTAGTACTCTTCTGCTTACAAGATGACTTAAAGTACAACCAGCATTTAGACATATCCACAAAGATAGTATTTGTAGTACATTGATTTCTTTCCTTTTGTGAAAATGATGTCACACAGTTGAACCCTTCTAAGCCTCTCTGGCTGCCTGCCTTTGGAGTAAAACTCTGTTTTACAACCCAATTACTATAAATCTGTCACAACCACTAATACAGTACAAATGTCATCTTTGTTTGTGGCTACGAAGGTGACATTATTACTTTGTTAACAAGACCTTCAGCTGACTGCAGGCACTTCTTGAAGGAGACAATAGAGCTGAGCTATTTCTGTTCATTTTCTCCAAACCGTTGACAGTAAATGTGATTAATTGCCCAGTTTGAATCATATTTTGCAGCTGTAGAAATTAATAGAGCCGCTTGAGTAACTCCATAACGTTTTTCACAAACCTAAACGAAAAAAAGATAGTGTCTGAGGACATCGCTCATGTCTGGGTTATGACTAACCCACTAGTCCACGGTGGTGGACGGTTTGCAGTCCATCTGCCGATCCAGGTACATTCACCGTCCAGTACAATTTAGCAGATTTATGGAAGACTCTGAGGCATTCAAGAGAGAATAGTCTGCAGAAATGAGATATTAACATGAGAATTGCAATATAGAAAAGTCCTCAAAGAACTTTCAGGTCGATTTGGAATGACCTCATATGAGGTCAGTTTTAATCCTGCCTGTCCAATCCTTGCCCTTTTTTCGTGTCAGTGAGTGAGGGAACGATGGAAATGGGGAAGGGAAAACAGACTTCCAATCTCTCCTCTTGAAGCTACTTCTTCAGAGCAGTGGTTAAAGTGAAAACAACAGCCTGCTGGTGGATTCAATATAGAGAGAGAAACAAAAAAGTTGAGGTTATTAGTTGAGAAAAACATTGTGCGGTTGCAATATTGACTGGGCACTGTTTTCCAGCTAAGCTGCTTATTTCCAGTAAATTTAAAAGAACTGCTGTTTTCTCCACTCTGCCTCCATAATAAATCCAATGATCTCAGGAGCCAAAGCGGCTAATTTCCTCCATTTCCCTTTAGTAGGTCATTAGGGTATAACATTCCACTCACCCATACGTTTTCATTGGAATCATTAAGGGTAGATTGATAAGGCTCATTAGATCTCAAGTTTGTAGCTAAAAGCAGCCAGTGTAATAAAACAGACAGGAAGTAGATGGAAAACTGTTAACCCAGCCCAATCAGTTCGATCTGACTGGTGTATCTTTTTATTTATTTATTTAATTAATTTTATTAATTTATTTTTCCTATTTCAAGCTTTTTGCATGCTTTGCTTGCTTTTAGCAAGTGAGTCACTAACCTATTAGTGCCTCTTCAGACGACCTTGGACTTCAGAGCTCCCCGTGGGGGCGTGGAAGGAATTTCCCTGGAGAGACTCACTGCTTAACCTTTGAATTGAATTTGACAGTTTAATTGTAAAAGCAGTAACACAAGAAAGGACATGCTCTGTTAAACAAATGCTCTTATGAATTTAGGATGATAGGTAAAGTGAGTCACTCTGTGAATCGATTGCCTTCTTCAACAGGTCCTGATGCAGCAGCAGAAAAGCAGAGCCTTTTACCGGATCCAGGCCACCAGGATGATGATCGGAGCGGGTAACATCCTCAAGAAACACGCTGCCGACCAGGCTCGCAAGGTAGGACTCACTCTGATCACGACGACATGTATATCATTGTTGAAATGTCTTTACTTTATTTATAATAGCTATTTTTATTATGTTATAGGTCGTGAGCAGCCATGAGACCCACGCCCAGGCGGATGACCCCCACACCATCAGAATAGAGTTCGATCCCTCACTGTACCAGTGCTTTGAAAACTGTGGCTCCCTGAAATTGACCGTCACCAGACATGGAGGAGATCCTGGAGTTACTGTCAAGGTGTGTCACTGTTTGGACTTGGAAAATCTTAGTCTGGAACAATGCTAACAAAAACAAACATCAAGAGTAGAAAATAAAATACAATATTGAGTTGAGCTTTCATTGAAGTCCAATTTCCAACTGATTTCTAACAGGTCAGTAGTTCAAATCAAACAAAAGCAAAGTGGAATCAATGATGCCTTTACTGTTCCAGGCAAATGTTTCTTTGTAGATTGATTTGATTGCAGACACTCATAATTATGGTCATTTTAGAGCATAATTAGATAAGCCTGTTCCGTAGACTTGATATTTTTGACCTTAGGAGAAAACTGGAGAACACAGAAGAACATACAAACTCCATCATCTACCACCCTGACCTGAATAACCAAAAACAAAATACAAAACATGTATGATTAATCATGATCATAATAATAAGCATTCCTAAATATGAAATTATTTTTTTCTATAAATGGCTGGATCACAGAGATTGGGTTCTATTTTTATTTTACTCACTAATCCAAGCAACACAGGCCAACAAGACATGAAAACCAGAAGACACGGTGGAGAATTTCTTCTTATTGACTGAGGGGTTTAACAGTCCAGCCCAGTGGTCCTTCAGGTCTCTCACTGAGCCTCTGTCAGTGGATTGAACCTGATCAACTCACCATATTTACTAAGGCTTCAGTTGGACGGTGGTGTTTTCAGCTCTGTCTTTCTGTTAGCACACACTGGTGTGGTGTGTGCAGTTAGACTTACTGTGAATGTTGACTGTTGAGGGCCGTCTTCAGACTGTTCAGCTGCTCCTCGAGGCCAAGTGTTGAAACAGGACATTAAGGATGAGGAATTATTTCACAAGCTCTCTCCACAGACTGCAGGTCTTTTTAGCTGTAGCCAAGGTTTTCACACAGTGAAATATTACAACAATATTGACACAGTCCCAGAATTACAAATGTACTGGGTGAAATTAGGAAATTGAAAAGAAGTTTCAGAATATTCTGATGATGACTTCTTTAAAATGTGGATATACAGTAAATTTGTTAAAAGGTTAAGAACAAAAAAAAAGAAAATGTAAAAATACTTTTGTATTCATTCATTATTACAATTATAAATTGAACACTGACCTTAGGGCTCAGTTTAATGGAGTTGTTGTTGGATCTCTCTCACTCTTTGTTCCGATTTTCCCCCAAACTTCTAATTTATTTACCATTCCACTCTTCTGATATTTCTTTTCATTGTTGTTGTTTTTCTCCTTCCTCTCCCTTTGTGCTTATCTGCTGTTTTCACATCTGTTCACTGCTGCTCAATCTTTAACGGCTCTTTTTCACTCCTGTCCCACTGTGTCCCTGTGTCCCCCAGGTGGATTATCGCACAGAGGACGGCACAGCAAACGCAGGTTCAGATTATGAATTTGCAGAGGGCACATTGATGTTTAAGCCTGGAGAGACCCTCAAAGGTAAACAAAACAAAACAAAACAAAAAACACCCCGGGCCATTGTGGCGTAACTTAAGTGCAAAATAATCCCTGCTGCCTCTAAATATATCATTTAAAGGTCAAATTTAGATACAATGTGGAACGGCATTATTTTGATTTGTACTAAAGCACTCGTCACCTCTCTTTGAATAGAGATCACAGTTGGAGTTATCGATGATGACATCTTTGAGGAAGATGAGTATTTCTACGTCCACCTCAGTAACCCCAGGGTGGTCGGCTATCCCGAGATTGGAACTGTGCCCATGGACGCCAGTGCTGCGCCCAAAGCTGTGTTGGGCAGCAACCACACAGCCACGGTGACGATCTACGATGACGACCATGCAGGTATGGAAAAAGTAGTTTTAATTTTTCTTTATTGTCCTTTAAATAGGAATATAACAGTTGAAGTTACAAGTTTGTGTTTGACAGAAAAAAGTCCAGAAATAATGTCAGGCTTGTTGGGAAATGACTCTAGGAAATGTTCAGATTGAACTTAGTTACAACTGTGTATTAATCAGAAAAATACAATAATTAATAAAATATTAACAGTGAATTAGTCCATATAAAGAGTAAAGACCTGGTCGAGAATGAGAAAGTAATTAAAGTATGTGCATGTAAAATAGAAAATGATTGGATTTCAGAAGCAAATGAAGGATTCTTATGTCACTAACTTAGTAGCAAATGCAGGTTAAATGTGTAAGGTGAAACCTCCTCAATTATAATGAACCAAAAAACAAAATAAGCTTTAAATACTAGTAATAAAAATTGGACCTTTTCTAATTATGTTTGTTTGAAGAAACACAAAAAACAAGTCGAAATGTAAATGTAAATGCACCAAGGTCAGCTCCGTCTTACAGCTACTAATCCAAGTTTGAATCATACCAACAGCTTTTACACTGTAAAAGTTGTTTGACAGTAAGTAGAGTATACAAATACATATATCTACACATATATTTATATGTATATATATTAACAGGCTTTATAGCTGAAAATGATCTAGAATAAGAAATGCTGAGCAGATTGACCTTCTGCTACTTTTTTATGCTAGCATAGCATGTCCCCCCCCCCCCCCCCCCCAACACTCACACACACATCCACATGCACTGGAGTGCAGTTATGAAGATTTTCCTGCCATTTATTTTGAATCCCCATGGAAAGATGAATTTTCAACAACATGCGTTCTACAGTTGTGTCCTACAGATGGGACCATCCTGTATTATTGCAGTGTAAGAGTTCCTCAAATGTAAATGAGGGAGAATGATTGTAGTGTGGGCGTTCATCTATGGCTCATTATCTTTTACCCAGAGAGCGTAGGTTGTTACCTATTATCCTTACTCTGTATGTACCAAAGAGAGCTGGAGAAAGAGCAGGTTATTAGCAGTCTTTTAAGTCTCCCCGGTGTATTTATCCTCACAGGTAATGACTCTTCTCTTTCTTTCCCAGGTATCTTTACTTTCGAGAGTGCAAGTCAGAGAGTGAGCGAGAGCGTAGGAGTGATGGAGGTGAAAGTGCTCAGGACGTCAGGAGCCCGAGGCTTGGTAGCCGTCCCCTATAGAACCCTAGATGGAACAGCTAGAGGAGGAGAAGACTATGAGCTGGTGGCCGGTAAACTGGAGTTCCAGAACGACGAGACCATGTGAGTACAGAGACGTTATCTTCTTCCAGATGCAGAGCTCAAGACAGTGTTCATCGGTTGAATAGTGAACATTGTCTAATTTGTTTAAACAATACAACCGATGGCACGCCACACATCTGTAGTGTACTGCTCACCCTCATCCACACCCTACATTAAAAAAAAAAACAAAAGAAAACGTTGCAGAATAGAAAAGTTAGTTTTTAAATTTTCACAGACTTGTTCTTGTTTCCCTGTGTGTGATGGAATGACGCAGTGACTCTTCAGGTCATCTGAGTGCATCCACTCTTTTAATAACTCTATTAGTTAGATAACATTGTCACTGTAATGTCATTCTTGAAGGCTCCTCGTCACTCTTCTTCTTCCAAGGGCATGTGCACTCATCACACGCTCTCTCACCAAATTGCTTTTGTGTCCTCAGGCACATACATTTTTAATATGCTGATGTTAGCTGTGTTAAATTGACCAACACATAAAGTGGTTGGGAATGCAGCTTTACTCAGCACCTCCTGGGGCCTGCACAGGAACATGCTCTGTTTTTGTGTGTGAATGAGGTGTCCTATATCTGTTTGTGGAAATCAATTTGCCGGTAGTTTAAGGACTTCTTTAAAGGACGGCTTCATTCACAAGGTAAGAACAAGGGTTGTTCTTACGGAGGGGCAGGGTTTACTATTTAAAGGAAGGGTGAGCAAGTTTAGTTTCTGTTATATTGAGCAGAAAGTGTTTCGTTTTGCACCGAACAATTGTTCAATCAGGAGTTTTGTGAAGCTGCACAGTATTCAGTTCCTGTGGGAAGAAATGTCACTTTTGTATAATATAGCATATTAATGAGAATATTTGGGTTTTTCAGTTGAGTATTTGCTGCGCTATAATCCTACAAAGTGTTGTATGGTCAACATTCTTGACATCTGGTACCAGTCTTCCTCTGTGTGTGTACGTGTGTGTGGTAAATTGCTGTACTATCACTGATAAAATCACTGCTCTGAGGTCAGGAGGGTTGAAACGTGCTACACAGGGAGTGAGCAGTGAGCAGACAGATGAGAGGCAGATAGTGAGCATCAGGGCTGCCCTCAGGTACTGCACTGAGAGTTCACTCAAATGTCAGTACTAAAAAAGAAGGAGCTGGTGTGAAAGGAGCTGAGACTGCAGCAGATTAGATAACCTCAGAGTGGAACTTCTCTGGGTCTTTGAGTTGTGTTTACTACAGACTATCGGCTCGTAATCTCTTGGGTCTTTAGTAAATTATCGGCTAAAATAAGCATTCTTTAGATTTTGTTTTATTTTATTATTATTATTATTGTTGCTGTTAAAATATTACAAAGGGTGAACTTTAAGACTAATCTTTAACATGAACGATGTAGGGCATACGTGTCAAACTCAAGGCCTGGGGGCCAAATGCGGCCCTCCAAGCCGTTCTGTGTGGCCTGCTGGAGCTTAAAAAGCATTTAGTGAATTATTTATATAATTAAAAGTCCACAGTCTTTTTTGTTCCAGCCAGTACCACCCGTTAGTGCAGACGTAGCAAGGTACTGATCATCGAAGGATCTTTTTCAAAATAAAACATCTTTTATACTTCTATTCTGTTAGTATCAGACTCTGAATGACCCATTATTTTAAAATTAGATCTTCTTTTGCTAGATTATCTTTAAATAAAGAAAGTAAATGAATATGACTTACTTTGACTGAAGTGAATTAGTAAAAATTAAGTACATTTTTTAATTGTGTTCCACTGCGGCCCAGTACCAAATGACCTATGGACTGGTACTGGTCCGCGGACCAGGGGCTGAGAACCGTGATCTATACAGTCTTCCAGTTACAACCGTTGCTTCAAGGGGAACTGTATTGCTGATGTGGCCCCCCGGTGAATATGCCCTACACCAGGGGTGAGTTTGACACCCCTGGTGTAGGGCATTAACTGTGACATCATGTGTGCCTTTTTTTGGACCTGGTCCATATTTTACATCGCACCACGAAAACAAAAATGTCACAAAAAAGTAAAGTAAGTATTGAAAATATCATGATCTTCTAGTTTATTTCTGGTTTAATTTTATCTTCCTTCGCTGCCTCCTGCTGGGCAATAGCTCTTCATTCTTTGGGGGAGGGGAGCGGGGACGGGGGGGGGTTTGCCTTCTTTAGTGATAAAATAAATCTATTCATCTTGATTCTACCAGACAGAAGTCATGTATAGTTGCCAAGTTTTATGGAAAAAAAAAATCACAACTCCTCCTGTCTGGCTGTTTGAAGTTTGGAACCCTGACAAGAAAGACTCTGCCGCCGTTCGTCTTTGGTTCTAACTGGAGAAAAGCTCAATGTCTAATTAGAGTATTTGACTGTGATGGAAAATAATGATGTGGAAGCTCAGCCAGGTAGTTCAGAGCCAAACTCTCTTCAAGGCCCTAAAGTTCACCGGTGAAGATTTCAAATCTTTCAAACGTTTGCGCTGCTACAACATGTTTCAGAAGAAAACAAAAGAGCATTATTTAGTGCAGGGTTGAAGTTCAGCAGAACACATTGACTGCCTGTTTTTTTCAGCACAGTGTCAGACAGAAAAAAAAAATGTCCTGACTATTACTCAGATGTGAAAGAAATCATGGAAAAGGTGAGCGAGGGAAGTCTTAGCAGTAAAGTACTGTAGGAATAAGTGGAAAGTACTGAGGGTGTCGTAGGAAAGTGAGAGAGAAGTGGAGGGTGAGTTAGAGATGTGATAAGAGTATCCATCTGTCTCTCTGGTGTTCTGTTTACCTTCCTGGTTTTCACGTTCATTCAGTGACTTTCAGTAAAGGCTAATAAATAATAATAATAATAATAGTAATTAATATTATTATTATTATATGATGGACATTTTCTTTTCTATATTTTCTGGGTTTGAGATTTTAATGCTTCACTGGCGGCTCATTTATTTACATTAAAAATCTTTCAAATCACACGTTGTTGTTTGTTAACATAGTAACTCCAGATTGTTTTGGTCTTTGTTTTTTCTGCCACTGCTGTTTTAATCATAATACTCTTAGACTAGAAAAGAAACATGTTGACGTTTTTGGAACCCAGTTTTCACTTTAAGTTCTCAAGACCGTGTTTGCTGCTCAGCAGGTTTACGAATGTCTTCAAAAATAAAGCATATTAAGGACGCTCAGGAAAAAAATGTCTGACACTTCTCGACTACTGGATGTAGACACTATTTCTAACCTTATTAGATATTTCTCTTTTTTTGTTCTGTTGAGGACATTTTCTACCTTTTTTTTTTGTGAAAGTCCTTTTCCTCATAACTTACTCCTTCCTTCCTTCCCCCTTCCCTCACCTGCCATCTTAGCTCCTGTTCACCCGTCACTGCATTTCATTTGCATTTTTCCCTCATCTCTGCCTTCAACCATTTGCTCCTGTGCACTGTCAAGGTCTTTTCTTATCTTGACTTCATTTTCCTGCTCACCAACTTTTTTAGCACCGTTTCTTTCTTTTTCTTTTTTTACCTCCGCTCTCGTATCTTCAGTGATTCTTCATTTCGTCTCACTCTTTAGTCATAGAAAAGGGAATTCTGCAGGATCACACCACAGACCCAACTCACCGTCCCCACCGTTCTCCCTTCACTGTCTTGTGCCTCCTATAATCTGAATCACTCACTCATAAAAATTTGATTTACCTATTTTTATCTATGCGATGCATCTTTGCAGCGCTTTTAGATATATATTCTTTTCTCTGTGGAAGCGTTTTGAGAAGAAAGCCGACGGTGAAGTCGGGCAGTCAGCCAGTTGCTGCAGAATATTTTTGGGGAAATCTGAAATGCACTGGAGTTGAACTGACAGGAGCAGTGAGGTAAAGGAACACCAAAGATAAGTTCTCTTCCTCACTTTTTTTTCTCTCTTGGCTTCCATTTACCCAGAGGTCAGAGGTCAGATTGACTAGTGCTTTCTGGAGCTGATGGGGATTTGACATCTTGCTGATTTTCCACTTTGCAGAGAGAAGGTGATCATTCCTGCGCTCCCGTACTTAGACTTTAAGGTAATTTAATTGGTCATGATGGGGCTACTTCTAACAGACATGAACAGACCACTTCAAATTTACCAGGGGACATAATGATAATAATTGAGTCCCTTATTCCTCCCACAATTACAGTGTGAGTCTTGGCAACTGACACCGGCTGCCACAGGAGGCGCCATTAGGGACATCAGTAATGTATTTAAATAAAATCTCTTTTTTTTCTTCTTCCTCTCTGTCCTGCTTCCTTTATCGTTTCCTACCAGTGACATATTTTTAACTTCCACTTCTCCTTTTCCCCTGGTGTGTAAAGAACTCCATTCATGCAGCAGTTTACATACTGCACTTAAGAGACCAGATGTAGTTTATGTTGAATGTGACTTCAAGAGTGCGTTGTTAGCCACGTGCCGCGGCTGAGTCGACTGAAATTTGCATGACTGCACTTTGTAATTATAATGTGACTGCCTGTTTACGGCACATAGAATAACGTTTGCTCACTGAGCCTCGGATACCTGACACTTTTCCTTTATTTCCCTTTGTCTCAGCTTCTTTTCATTGAGATTTGTTATTTCAATATGTTTGTTAACCCAGTTTGATAACCTGTTGGGGAAACCAGGGGTGTAAAGTAATAACAATATGTAAAAAAAGGTGTCTGTTAAGAAAATTAACTGTGCTGTTGATGTCTGAATTTGAAGCTTAAAAAAAACAGTGTGTTTTTCCATTGGGGAAATATTTTCTTTTTTAGTTTTAAATAAAGCCAAATTCTGTGGGAAAACTGAGCTGCTCAGCAAAGTAGGCCAACAAGAAAGGAGAAAACTGTCTGTTTCATGTCTCAGTGATGAAGCAAGGGCAGTAGTAATTGAAGTATGGAGTCAGTGTGTGTGAGTATGTAAATGTCAGTGGTTTATTTTCTCACTGACTGTGGAATTTATTCAGTGTCACTCTGTGGGAAATCTCATATGCTCACACAGCGTGCAGGATGGTAAATCTATAGTCTCTTTAGTCCCACTGTGGACTCTCATTACATACTG